ATGGGATACTTGGTGGCTAGCTTAGGTCCTAGCCCAGGCCAGCTGCTGAGGGCATTTAGGGAGTGTTCCACTACATGGGCTTGCACCCCCACCCAGATCCCCCTACATCTCTCTCTTGTCCTCTCCAACCCCCACTTCTCGTATAACTTATTTTTTAAAATCTAAAAAAAATATAGATAACACAAACATTAACTCTGAAAATTAATTTGGAGCTAAACAATAATTATTTTAAACCTTGTACATTTCAAGAGAAATTATGTGCTATTTATACCACCTAGGAGAGCCACTTCCTTTTTGCATTCCTAGAATTTTGTGTTCAAACAATACAGACACCATTCAGTTCACTCAAAACATTGTTAATTCCATGTTTTATGTCAACACAGGGGAATACGTGGCCATTTGGAAACCGGACTGAGTACATGATTAGTAACATCTTTCTAAATCTAAGCTTAGTAACTTACCCATTGGACAATTTTGGAAAGAAAAAAAGATCTTCACTTGTCTAAGTTTGTGTGCTATATATACATGTATATATAATACAATGACAATAATTCATACCAAACATGAAGTTTTAGCTGATGATCCAACTTGGTAATAAAACAGTTATTCATATGAATATTTAGATATACCCAAATATAAGTTTTCATGTTTATTACCTTCCATATATTGATTGCCAGAGTATTTTTATCACATACACAAAGGAAACCGATTTATTTCACTGATTTCTAGCCTTAATTTGAGAGATTTAAAAACCCAAACTATAAAATATATAAAGCTGCTCTACAAATTATAAGAATTATTTAAAATTAATCATATTTTGTGTTCATGAAACTGTTTCCGTCTACCTAAAATCTGAACAGATGAGCTACTTGTAAATCTAGAAATATTATACATAAAAATAATACATAAAAATAATTAAGCAGGAGCTATAATTATAATGAAGTATATTTTCCAGTATTATTCTACTAACAGAAAGTGATATATTTTAATATATATTCTAATACATTCTACTAATATTATTCTACTAACAGCAAGTGAAATAATATGAAATACACACAACAGAACCGTAATGAAACATCTACCATAAACTTTAAATAGCTACTACCATTACAACAAAAATGGAAATATCTGTCTGAAATATAGTCAAAAGGTCCTTAGACACTGACATATTCAGATTTCAGCATCTCAATGTTCCTGCATTTAAAAAAAATGTTTAGGAATTGGTCTCATTTTTATAACCTTGAACCCTTTAGTTCTGCCTTTATATGGACATATGCCTCACACGAAACAACAACTAAATTGTTCAGCCAGTTGAAAAAATTACCAAGACAAAAGGCTGCATTCACCTTCCTTAAAAAAATCTTTTCCTTTTAGTATTATAAAATAGCAAAAATTACCAAGTTTTTTATAGAATTTGAACCATCTAAAATAAAATTCATATGTCCTGTGCTGCAAAATATCCATTCCCAATTTTCCTTTATTGTTAAAGCTACTTGAAAATGATTTGAAATAGAAAGCATAAAGAGGAGCATTTACGCACAAAATAATAAATATTCTGGAACAGTCTCTAAATTCAATCTTGTCATTATTTAACTTGTGGTTATAACTGGATCTTTTTCTAAGTACCATACTCAGATTTTCTTTTTAAAAATATGGCCTAATCACTTTGTGGCAAAAATAAATCAATGTATGCATAGTATACATGACAGATTACAGCACCTGACAGATTTCCTATTATGATTGTTAAGCTCAGAAAAATTGAATACACGTTTTTTCCAAATATAACTTTTCTAAGGATCCAAATCCAAGATAAATGCACATATTTTAAATCACTAAAACTTTACAAAATTTGTAAAGAATAGTTCAATCAACGGCCTGATAATCATTTCATCATTATTTCACCACAGTTCCAACTCTTTCTGAATCTAATAGAATCCTGTTATCCACTTCTATAATCAGCTATACAGTAAGAAATTAGAAGCTATCTATGAATTTCCATGAGTAATTTTATAATTTATTATGGAGTATGGTATTGCAAATTATTTATAATTCTGATGCCAAGTTCAAATTAATATTTATATGAGATCAGCCATAAAAAAGTACAGCTTATATTTAATAAATGAAAACATGATAAGTGATATACAACAGGGACCTAACAAAATTCTTCCATCATTGTCAAAATTTCACATTGCAAGTTACATATTTTCTTTTTAGAATTTTTACACTTAAATTAAGTACTGGAATTGGCATTTTCTGGTGCAGAGGGCACAGCCAGCACCTATAACACTAGCATTTCACATGGGTGCTAGATTGTGTCCTTGCTGCTCTACTTCTGATCTAGCTCCCTGCTAATAGCCTGGGAAAAGCTGTGGAAGATTATCCAAGTGACTGAGCCCTTGCCAACCCTATGGGAGATCTGAATGGAACTCCTGTCTCTTGGGTTTGGCTGGCTAAGTCCTGGTCGTTGCAGCCACTTGGGGACTGAGCCAGCAAATAGAAGACCTTTCTCCCTTCTTAACTCTGATTTTCAAAAATTCATAAATTTTTTAAAAATACAAAACTTCCATTTGGAAGTAATGTACACATTATTGTAAATGATTTATTCGCTCTTTCTTATGATAAATTTTGACAGAAGGAAGATTTTTAAAAATCAGAAGATACAAAATAAAGAGGAGTAAAATAAAAATCGGCCTACTATCAACTTTAAGAAAGCTCTGATCCAAAAATTTAAATTAGAAATCTGACATGCAATAGAGATGTATTTCTGCTTAGGTATGCCTATCAGGGCTAGATCATTAAGAAAAACATACCAAATATATTTTACATTGTTAAAGTATTGTCACATATAACATTGTATTATTAAATGAATTAGCATACACAATATTTGGCACAATTCTAGATAATAAGGCAATGATGATAATTTGGTAGTGGTAGTTTCTGTTTTAATTGTTGCAAGATTAACATTGATATAAACACAGGACAATGAAACATTTGGCTTTCTTTTTCTAAAAGTTTAGTAGTTGCAGTACACTACACTCTGTAACAATTTATTATAAATGTTATACAGTTCCCAGGACAAAGAAATGATAAATATTCAAGAAGGTGGAAATGCTAATTATCCTACTTTATTCGCTAGACAATATATATATGTATCAAACTGCCATTCATACCCTAAAATGTCCATATATCATATATCAATTTTGAAAGTTTATCATAACACATATTAAGACACATTAAAGGATATCTTTAAAGGAATTTTGGTTAAGCATGAAGAAAAATAAAATTATGCCTCTGCTAAGCAGGGTGTGTAGAGACAAAACAGAAATAAAGAATGAACAGGATTCTGGATTTAGACTGAGAAGAGCTGTGCTCAATTCTTGACTTTATTATTTTTTTTAAGTTTTATTATTTTCCTTGAAAGCCAGAGTGACAAATAAAGAGAATGGGACACACATATCAAGAGAAAAATCTATCCATTGCTTCATTCTCCAACACGCAGCACAGCCAAGGCACTACAGGTGCATTAGCAGGAAGTTGGACTGGACATGAAGGTAGGATTCTATCCCAAGAAACTGTCCAAACAGCAAATAAACATTCTATGATGCTTTAGCATTATGTCCATGATTTTATTCAGGTACACCAACATTTTAGAAAAGTTGTGAAAAAAAAAATTTTTTGTTTTTTTTCATAGACTGTAGAACACACTCTCTATGACACTGAATATCTTACCCCAGTAAATGTCTTTGAACAGTAATGAAAGGAGCTCATGTGAAAAGCAGGTGTCTAATTCACTGCAGTAACTTAGTTAAGAAAATCTGAGGCTATTTCCCTGGACCAGTGTCCTCATTTGTTGATACTGAGGTGCCGAATGATGTCAAACTTCCTCTCATTTCTGAGATCATTGTATTACCTAGTAAATTCACTTTTTTTCCCCTATTTTTTAACTGAGACTATAAGAAGCTCTACCTAACCAGTCTCTAAACCGACAGGAAAAGTATACATACTAAATACCTCTGGATTACCAGTTGCTGAGCCGCCATCAAGGACCCAGGAACCTAACCCTGGAGTCCTCTCATTTCTTGATGCTCTGTCTTTGACAACCCCAGTGCTATTTTCAGTGACAGCCTTTCACTTCTTAACTCTACCAACAAAAAGAAACCACACTGTATGCCTGCTATTGAGGACCTCCACCCTTTCCAACCCTTTGCTGATGCAAGTAAGGATGCTGACCTGCCTTCTGCTGGCGCTGAGGATTGCAGCCATGGAAGAATTCAACACAGACATAGCCAACAGGCCCCTACCATCATCTCAGGGATGGCTGATGATTATGATAAAAAAAAAAGTAGTGATAGCTTTTAAAAAGAAGTTTGTCTGCAATGATACTGAACTGAGCATCCAGAATACACAGCATCCAGAAGCAACTCAGCTAAAGGGTAGCCAGTTCAAGACCACATGCCAGTTCCTGGTGGAGATTGGACTATGCAGGGAGGTTGAAGGTTCTTGGATTTTCAGTGTCTGTGGCTCACAGAAGCTGCTGTGAAATTTTCCTGGCAATAAGTAGAATTGCCATGCTGCTCCCTGTTACAAATCTTTAAGACTTCACAGTTTGCATAATGCAACTGTTTGGAGTTTTCTTTTAACTCAGACAAGTGAAACTCCATGCAATAAACCAAAAATAGCCACTAAAAAGCCTCTCAAGCATCTGAACAAATGAAAAAAGGCTGAAAAGTTTCACTGTTTCACATTGTTCCCCTGCTTCTGTGACATTTTAGCTACTTGCCTTGGAGACAAGAGCATCACTCATTAATAGAAGTAATAAAATTTGTTATTTGTAAGTCTACATCCTTAAGCATTGCAGAATATACTTCTAAAATGGAAAAAAAATCAAGCTGTCTTAATTGATATGGATTATGGACCACAATAATAACAAAAGTAGCATACCCTGATGTGTAAACTGATGAGAAAAAAAAAACAACTTGAAGAAAAAATAACCAAGTTACCTGCCTTCCCTTAAGACCTCTCTTTCCACGGCTCCCAGGACTGCCCTAGAGTACAAGAAAAGTCACATGTAAACATTTGTTCAATGAATCAATGGTATACTATAGAGCACCTTACCTAAGTAACAATTAACCATGAATGCCAAAATAAGAGAAATAATTTGTTCTACAAACATCTGTGATGTTCAGAAAAGCTTCTCTATGCATATTAATTTACAGTGGCACTATTCCCTCAAGACAAGAATCCCAATTTTACTCATGAACTTGCCCTATGTGCTCTTCTATATGACATTGCCTTGCTGGTAGTTTTATATTCAGAGGTGAAGTATACTAACAAAGTTGTTGCAGCTAAACAGCAAGGCCTTCAGCTACTCCTATAGGGGCAATGTCATCTTCCCCATCCTCCCCAACCCTATTATAAACAAAGACACAATTATCATTGGCACTGGCAGCTTTGAAATCATAAAGGTGACCAACCCCAGGTTAAAAACAACATTGAGAAAGGCAAAGTAAAGAATAATGATTTTGGTGCTGGAGTTGAAGTGAAACAAGCTAATCCTTCATCTGTGGTGCTGGTGTCCACTATGGGTGCTGATTCTAGTCCTGGTTGTTGCACCTCATACCTAACTTCCTGCTAATGATCTGGGAAAGCAACAGAGGATCTTCTAAGTTTGGGCCCCTGCACTATGTGGGAAAGTCAGAAGAAGCCACTAGTTCCCAGCTTTAGATCAGTCCAGCTCTAGCTGTTGTGGCCATTTGGAGAGTGATTCAACATATGGAAGACCACTCCATGTCTTCTCCCTCATTCCTGTCTCTATAACTTTGACTTTCAAGCAAAATTAATAAATCTTTAAAAAACTGATGATTTTTGCATTGCCCAAGACAATCTTGTACCTACGTCCCCCTACCCTTGAACAACTAGAAGCATGGGATATAGTAGTTAATCCTGTATCCAAATCCTGGCTCTCTTTCTACTATCTGTAAATGGTGTCAGGCAGATTACTTCCTGTATGTATATCTCATTTTCAGCTACACTGAAAATAATGGCAGTAATTATCTCATTTTATTGGTGGGCACTAAAGGAGTTAACATACATAAATACATGTGTCTTGAATATATGTGACCATTTAAAAAACAATCTGTTGCTATCATTATCCAAAACTTCCTTGCTTTTATGTCAGTTTGAGTTGGGGGTTGTTACTTCCTTTCTAAACTATTTTTACCTGATATAATTATTTTGGAACTTATAACCACTTAAGGCACTGAAGACAAAATACTTGTCAAAACAAGGTAGCTTGGGATTGCTTCTACATACTGATTTTCAGAAAACATCATTGGGTGATATACCCAATTTCAAGTCAGTGGGGTTTGATAAGTTAACTCTCGTGTCTCTGATATACAAAATCCAGTTCACAGATGAGCAAGAGGACTCATTTCAATCAGAATTTGTTTCTTTATATAATTTGTTTCTTTATATACATCCAAACTGCTTAAACAGCTACCCTTTAAAACTGTGGAAGATCCCCTGAGCCACAGCATGAAACTTAAGGGTATTACAAAGAAATATATCAGCATATCATACATGCACATAAGTATATATGCATGTATACAATGCTGACATAACGAACCACAGTTTCTTTCCATTTGTTTTCTGGGTTGATTATTAATATTAATATTTTCCTCTGATCTTTTCTTATTTAAAGGTATTATAATCTTACAACAATTATTATCTATACCACTCAAGATTATAATGAATTTTTAAAAAGGTGACCATGCATTAGGGCATGGCACCTGCAATAATCACTATTACATGGAGGGGTCTCACACATATTGATTGAAAGGGTCTTTATATTTTCATGAAGATTGGTAAAAACTACTGAGAGTGATTACAGCACAATATTTAGTGATGGCTAGTGAAACACTGGCTTTAATTTCTTAAACCTAAGAAGATAACATTTTTCAGACATAAATGTAATTTTATTTGTTAAATCAATTAACAGGGGCCTTCTGCATGCACTGGATTCCATATGGGTGCCAGTTTGTGTTCCATCTGCTTCATTTCCCATCCAGCTCCCTGCTTGTGTTTGGGGAAAGGAGTGGATGACAGCTTAAACTTGGGACCCTGCACTCATCTGGGAGATCTGAAAGATGCTCCTTGCTCCTTGCTCCTAGTTGGAATGGCTCAGCTCCAGCTGCTGTGGCCACTGCAGGAGTGAACCAATGAAGGGAAGATCTCTCTTTCTGTCTCTGCTTCTTTCCCTGTAAATCTGCCTTTTCAATTAAAATAGATCTTAAAAAAATTACAAAGGTAAGTTCATGCAAAAAGGTCAAAAAAAGATTCAATTTTGAGTTTTATTAGTGTAAACTGTATATACTCCCAAGGGTTAAGAAGCAGCAGCCCAATTCTTTGCATTATTGATAGGATGCATCTTCCATTAGTCTACAGAATTACATGACAGTTAAGTGGATTAACTGTGGTATTATGTTGAAAATTGGACTTTCTATTAATCAACACATTCAAATTCTTTCAGTATTTTTCCATCTCCAGGAGCATTTGAAGCTAATTACTAAAAAAAAAAAAAATCATTTAACTATTCATTCAAAACACTACCCATTTGGAAAATTCATTTAGCAAAAAATTTAGCCATGATAGTTCAATGCAGGGTAAAGGTCTTGATTAATCCTTTTAAGTATGTTAAATCTTTGCATTTTGCAAAGATTGTACCCTTACTCATAACTATCTATATTTATGGGCAGTTATTTCTACCTACTCAAAGCACATCTTCTGAGGCTAAATTGTTCACCATACATTATACTGCCCTATATGAGGCTTCTTAAGAATTTATGACTAAATTAAAGATGGTAGATTATGATGTGACATAGTTATACATTTTAAATTTTAATGCAAATTTGGTAAGGTTTTAATTGAAAATATATAACAGTACATTATCATATCACATTTCTTCCCTATATTAAAATTCATTTTCCAAGGCCCAGTGCCATATCCTAGTGGCTAAATCCTCGCCTTGCATGCACCTGGGATCCTATATTGGCATCAGTTCTAATTCCAGCGGCCCAACTTCCTATCCAGCTTCTTGCCTGTGGCCTGGGAAAGCAGTCAACGATGGCCCAAAGCCTTGGGACCCTGCACCCACGTGGGAGACCCAGAAGAGCTCCAGGCTCCTGGTTTTGTTCGGCGCAGCTCTGGCCATTGCGGTCACTTGGTGAGTGAATCATTGGCTGGAAGATCTTCCTTTCTGTCTCTCTTCCTCCCTGTATCTCTGACTTTCCAATAAAAATAAAATAATCTTTTAAAAATTCAATTTCCAGATTAAAGCAACTCTAATTATATCTCTGGTAGGTTATTTTTCTTTCTTTCTTTTTTTTAAGATTCATCAATTTATTTGAAAGAATTACAGAGGGCATGAGAGAGACAGATATTCTATCTGCTGATTCATTCCCCAGATGGTTGCAATGAACAACACCACTAGCCATAAATTTCTTTTGGCTTTCCCACATGGGTGCAGGAGCCCAAACACTTGGGACATCTTTCACTGTTTTGCCAGTGAAAAATTTGCAGTGAAAGATTTGCAGGAAGCTGCAAATATAGGGCAGCTGGGACTCAAACTGGCACCCATATGGGATGCCAACATCACAGGCAGTAGCATTACCAGCTACAACACAACATCATTCTCCAAGTGATTTTTCTTAAACCTGGCTTACTCACACAGTAAGACAACATCAGTGATATCTGAGTTTACAACTGCTGTTAATACACTGTCCCACGCATCAATTTCAAAATAACACTTGAAAAAATGGACTTACCCGTTCTCCCTCAGGTCCCAATTGTCCTGCTTCTCCGGGAGAGCCAATAAAACCCTTAAACAAGGAAACAATCCTTACATTATTTCACTTGAGCATTCACTTCATAATTTTAATAGAAGTCCTTAATATTTATTTACAATCATATAAAAATATAAGACAAAAGTAAGTTCCACCAGGCTTGCGTCATGGCCCAGGGGCTAAAGCCACCACCTACAATGTCAATTCAAGTCCTGGATGCTCAATTTATGATCCAGCTCCCCGCTAATGGTCTGGGGAAAGCAGGAGAAGATGGTCCAAGTGTATGGGTTCCTGCCACTCATGTGGGAGACCTGGATGAAATTTCTTACTTCTGGCTTCAGCCTAGCCCAGTGTTGGATCTAGCTGTGGCAGCCATTTAGTGAATGAATTGGTGAACGGAAAAAGCAGTGAATGGAAAATTTCCCAATCTCTCTCTCTCTCCTTCCCCTCTTCCCCCAAATATTTCAAATAAGTAAATACATCTTTTCTTAATATAAATTAGAGAAGTCATGTATCAATCAAGAAAAGTAGAGAATATAATTTAAGACACAGCAGCTAATATGAGTCCATAAGACTAAACACCTTCCTTCACTGAACATCATGAGGCACAAAGAGAAACAACTTAAAAATATTGTATCAGGATACTCAAAGGATGATTAGATCATAGGATTTATGGCAAACATGGGACACAATGTAACAGTGGGAAGAAGAAAGATCCATTTCGCCTGGAGACTTAGGTTGCTTTACCCAGGAGGTTAGCATCTGAACCGGTTCCTGATAGGAAGGAAACACAGGGTTGACAGTAACTCATCTATCAACCAACTGAAATGAAATGATGTGATATTTACAAAGCATTTCAAATGATTCTTTGTGGTTGATTGACAGGAAACTGGGAATGGTGTCAGGTGCTGAATCAAGAAAATAGAGTGACATATTTTTGATTTGTTTATTCGAAAGACAAGCTGTTTAAGAAGGAGGAATTTTAAAAAATGAAGTATACAAAAGTGATTGATATAAAGGCACTTATGCTGAATGGTAACCTGTACACATTTACAGAATCATTAGTTACAGCTGATTTCAAATATGGCAACAGTTAAATTTGGTATCATATACCCAACAGAAGTTTTGACAATTTTGGACAGGGTCCAGTGTGTGAACCAGTTTATGGAAGATCTTTCTTTCTGTCTCTCTTTTACTCCATAAATCTGACTTTCCAATAAAAATAAATCTTAAAACAATAAAAAATAAATAAATAAAAGGGACAGGCATCTTAACTAGTATATAATTTTTAGTTAACTAGGTAGCCAGCTAAGAACTCAGGAATTGAAAAGTCAGACCTTTACACAACATAGACTGCACGGAGTTGTGGTCTTTACAAAATTAACACCACCGAACTACAATTTAGTGTATACCAAAAGAGGAAACACAGAAAAATCAAATGTGACATATTCTCTTCCTTCTCAGGTGGAACTCTGTAGATTTCAGTTAGAAGTAATGTATTTCCATTAGTATAAATAAAAGGGTCAGGAAGGTCCTAAATACTTCTGGTTTTGAGCCTTTCTTTTTTCCTTACTACACAAAGTAATGCCAAGGGAATTTGACTGCAGTGACCAGTGCTACGCCGATCTGAAGCTAGGAGCCAGGAACCTCTTCCAGGTCTTTCACATGGATGCAGGGTCCCAAGACTTTGGTCTGTTCTCCATTACTGTCCCAAGCCACAAACAGGGAGCTGGATGGGAAGTAGGGCTGCCAGGATTAGAACTGGTGTCCATATGGGATCCCAGTGTATTCAAGACCAGTACTTTAGCAGCTAGACCATTGTGCTGGGCCCAATTTTCTCTCTCTCTCTTTCTGGAACATTTTTTGTCATTTTACTGGAAAGGTTTTTTTAAAAGATTTATTTATTTATTGGGAAGTCAGATATACAGAGAGGAGGAAAGACAGAGAGGAAAATCTTCCATCCGATGATTCACTCCCCAAGTAGCTGCAACGACTGGAGCTGAGCTGAGCTGAAACAAGAGATGGGAGCCTCCTCCATGTTTACCACACAGGTGCAGGTTCCCAAGGTTTCTGGCTACCCTCATCTGCTTTCCCGGGCCAAAGGCAGGGAGCTGGAGGGAAACAGGGCCGCCATGATTAGAACTGATGCCCATATGGCATCTTGGGACTGCAAGGCAAGGAGTTTAGCCACTAGGCTGTGGTGCCTGGCCCCTTTTCTGTAACTTATCTTTCAAAAAAATAAATTACTGTGCTGATAAAAAGATAATTTAGCACATGGTTTTTTAATAAAAGATTCATGTAATATACAATATGCAAAAATTGTCCAGGAGTCAAATTAAATGGAAAAAAACTTATAATCCTATATGTTTCAATAGTTTTTGCCTTTTTAAACAAATTTAAAGTTAATATCAAAGTGGAACAAATTCTGGTTTCTTGTCACATTCTCAAAAGGAAATCTTTTCAAGATAAAAAAATGTGGAAATTCCTTTAAAATATATACATTTCTATACAAATGATAATTAAACGATAAGGGCACTGTTATAATCTAAAATAACTTTGAGATCAATCAGGGAGAAAAAGCTGATTTGAGATTTTTTTTCAAATTGATGTTATGAAGCTAGCCTCAAAATGTAAAAGTAAAGCTTAAAAAGCTGCAGCTTAGTTTGTAATTTTCAATGCAAGTAAGAAAAGAAAGCAAGCGTGAAAGGATAAATAATGTGCAAAAACAGTTAGAAGACCATAAAAAGTTAAACAAATCACCGAGGAAAGAAGACAACGTGCAGTAATAATAAATTGTTTCATGGCAAATGTGTGTTATACATGTCTTGGAGTTATAAGCTCACACATGGAAGAAATTGTCACATCTAAATAATAGCCATAGAATCCACAGAATAACTATATGCCATTTCTTGGTGCTATACCACTATTTAAAAATGTTAATCTCATTGAATTCTCACCACTACCTGAAAGGTAAGTTTCATTCTCATCATGTCATAAGATAATAAAAGTGAAGCACAGGAAGGCAGAATGATATCTAGGGCAGAAACCTAATGCAAGACAGCATTAAAGGAGAAAAGACAGCCTAATCCAATGCCCTGTTCTTGATCACAAATTCTGTATCCAACCAAACATACTTTCAGTATAACTTCAAATATAAAAATGTGTAAGTTTCCTCATATTTTGACCTAATGCAAAGATAGCCTAGCAGAATGGAAAGAATGTAGAGAACAAGTGAAAAAAACTTGATTCTAGTTCTAGCCAGCCATAATTGTTTTGTCAAATAAGCCAAGTTCCCTGGCCTATTGTTTTCTCAACTGTAAAATGGCACTGGAAAACTTATCGTCATACTTCACAGGGATGATGGAAAAATAAAAATACATGTGAAAGTTTAAAGAATGCTAAAAATGTACAGCATCATTGTTGCATATATTGTTTAAATTCTTTTGCTTTATTTCTAATATGTAATTTTTCCACACTAGGATAAAACACAAAACATCTGTGAAAAATTCATATTAATGAAAAAAGCTATGCATGGGTTTCAAAACCTTTTTGCATCAAAATAAATCACTTTAAAATTTTTACAGATTTAGTTGAGAGACAGCTAGGGAGAGAGCTCCCATCCACTGGTTTACTTTCTGAATGTCTGTAACAGTTGAGGCTAGGCCAAAGTCAGGAAGACAGTCCAGATTTCCCACGTGAGTGACTGGAATCCAATTACTTGGAGCCATGAGCCCTACCTCCCAGGAGCTGTACTGGCAGGCAGCTGAACTCAGAAGCCAGAGCCAGAAATCAAACACAGCTACGCCAATATACAATGCAGACATTTTAAATGCCAGGTCAAATGTCCAATTCATATATTTAAATTTTAATTCCAATTATAGGAACATTCAAAGTGTTTTTGTATAAGGCACAAACATTAGCTCTTAGAAAATAACTATTAGAAATGTTAAGTGGAGATACTTTGCAGTGTGCATCTGCACATCTGAATTTAAAAAATGGACTCACATTGAAACTGTTAAATATATCTTGACACTAGAATGCTGGATTTTACATCATTCTCTATATCTGCAATGTTAGGATACACTTAAACAGCAGAACGATGTAGTTGTGACTGTTGATGAGGGGCTAAACTATTGCTAAGATGTAAGGAGAAAACAGTGAGGGGGTGGAAGCCGTGGAGGGTGGAAGGGAAAATCTCTGAGCCTAAGAAACTGTACCATGAAAAACAAAAAACTAAAAAAAAAAAAAAGCTTGCTTTCACTAAATTTTGCTACAATTAGCTTTAACAGATAAGAGCAGTTTTTTTTTAAGACTTCCTTAATACTTGAATGTAGCAGAGATTTCATTCAGTAGCTTGCAGGCAGAATGGGATGTTTTTTCATATTGCCCTTGTATGATAGTTTTTGCATCATTAAATATACTATTACATAAAATAAATCCATTACATATAAAACTTTGAATTTCTTTGCCTTTTCATCTTTAACCTTTAACCAAAGAGGTTCATATTTGTTCATGGATAAGTAATACTGCATATGTTATGGAGTACTTTCTAATATGCCAGACACTGTGCTAGGAAATGAAAGTCAATAGAAAAGAATAAAGAAAAACCCACCATTATGAAGATATCCTAGAATTAGAAAAGGGAAAATAAATGTAAAGCAAGTGCATTCTTTCAGACTCCTTTTGCATTAGATTCTATGCTCCTCAGAAAGTTTAAAACTTATTAGTATTTTGTATATTTCATTCTCCTTTCATGCATGCATAAATATCACAAAGATGAAAATGCATACTTACTCGGACACCCTTTGGACCTGGATTACCTTCTGGTCCAGCTAAACCCTAAAGCGGAAAAAAAAAACTGTCATCTTATGATAATTTTTAAATTTAAATAAAATAGATAAAATTGTTAATGAAATATTGTTAACAAACAGATGAATCAGAGTATACAAAAACAATTTCCATAATTATTATAAAAATCAAAACTCAACCTACCTCATAAAGATTATGAATGCTCAAGGAATTTTAGAATTTCAGAACTAAAACAGAATTGACTATATCTATGCACAAATGTTTTGAACATCTAAACATATTACATTAACATGTATACAATAATTTTTCACCTATTTTTTTGGAAAATTATTTATGTTGTTTTAAACATTTATAATTAAAGATACATTTAATTTCATATCCATAAGTTGGAATATTCATTTTTATATTTTCACTTAAGATTTGAAAAGGATAAGATACAGTACCTCCAGGTATTTTTAAAGGCATAAAAATAAAATTTTGTTAACAGATTTTTTGTTGCCATTTTATTCCCTTCATTCATGAGAGTAAGCAAAAACAAATAAAATGCCATTTTCTATATTTAATTGATTTCAGATGTAATAAATTCATAGAAACATATGAAGGGAACTTGCTCTGTTTTTATTCTATATGAACGAGACAGCTAAATTAGAGGGGAAGTATGAAATGATTAAAATAAGTTTTCAAGACAGTATACTAAGAATTGAATTCAGTTTATAAAAGAGTATTTTGTATATGTAGCAGTATATGTAGCACTCAATCATTTTCCATAATTTTGTAACTATGTTATTAAAGGTGATGTTGATTACAGAGCATCTTAACTACTACTAGTAGTTTACACTGGTCACTGGAAATATTGTTTTAAGGTCTTATTGGAACCTAAGACATTTTAGTTGACTTATGTATTTAAGAGACAGAGAGAGAGGGAAGGAGACACACAGACAAAGGCAATTCTCTGGTGGTTCACTCCCCAAATACCAGCAATGGCTGGGTTGAGCTGGAAGCCAGGAGCTAGAATGCAGTCTAGGTCTCCCATATGGGCGGCAGAACCCAATTACTTGGTCCATTGTCACTGCTTCCCAGGGAAACTCCAGTCAGGAACTACAGCTGGAAACTGAACCTAGGTCGTCTGATATGGTACTTGGTGTTTTTAACAGCTAGAATGAAGTTGCCCCTGAGCCATCTCAGTTTGGAGGATCCCATTGTAATTAGCAAGGCCCACTGTCACTTTATACAAAGCTTTTCACAGTAAAACTTTGACAAAATTTTACAACTCTCATTTTTGAAAATATTTCTCAATTTAGCAAAATAAATCCCCTGGTGCTGGTATTGTGCGACAGATCAGAAAAAAATACTTTTGATGCCAGCAGCACAAATTACAATACTGATTCAAGTCCTTGCTATTCTGCTTCCAACCCAGGTTTTGGCTAATACACATGGGGACGCAATAAAGGATGGTCCAAGTATATGGGCTGCTTTCATCCATATGGCATACCAGGATGGAGCACATAGCTCCTGGCCTTGGTTTGTCTAAGCACTAAGAATTGTAGCCATTTTTTAAATGAACCAGCTGATGAAAGTGTTCTCTCTCTCTCTAGTGATCTGCATTTCAAACAAGTAAATCTTTAAAGAGCAAATACATAAAAGTAAACCCACAGTCACTTTAATGTTAACTCTGCAATTCATAGCATGATACCACATTCATGAAGAGGAACATAAAAGGAGAAGGATGAATATAGTTACTGCACCTGCCTGCCAGGGTAACCAGGTGAACCAATATTACCAGCAAATCCTGGGATTCCCTGAAATGAAAATTAAAATAAATAACCCAATACAGCATAGTCAAAGGAAATCCAAGGACATATATTTGGTGCATTTATATATCGAAGATTTGAAATAGTTTTTTTTCCAGATAGAAATACTGAATATGCTGAATTGCTTACCTAAGTGAAACAATCTAATTGAAGGAAAATGGGCCAAAATTACAAAATTAAAAAAAGATTGCCAGATTAGGAACAATAATCATTGTTAGGTTGAAACACTAATCATTAACAAGGATAAAACTAGGATGGAAAAATCAAATGCTAAAAAATCAAAGAAGACATTTGTCATACAATGTCATGAAGACATTGTATTCCTTAATAATCCTCTAATAATTTCTAAGTAATCAATGATTTCCTAATATCTTCTTAAACTGATTTCCTTATTTTTCTCAATTATTCTGCAACACACATTAACTGCCTAAGCACGAACTTTAGAAGACTATCCGGGACAGTGAAGTTTAAAACCAATCTTTTGATCCTTTGCAAAATAAGCCTTATATTCCAGAATATCTGATCTGGTAGATGGATACTAAAGTGGCAAATACACACAGTGAATATGGATAGAACTATGAACTGAATGTTTGTGTACCCCTTGAATTAACCAATTGCTAATGGTAATGCCTAATGGTATTAGGAGGTGAGGACTTAGGGAGGTAATAGGTCATTGGAGTGGAACACTGAAAAATTGGATTAACACCCTCACAAAGAAGACTGGAAAGCCAACTAGCTCTCTCTATCCCAAGAAGTCAGCATCCTGTAACTCAGAACAGAGGCTCTTACCATAACCCAACCATGTTCATCTCAGACTTTCAGCCTCCAGAAATATAAGCAATAAGTTTCTGCTGTTTATAAGCCTTCCAGTCCACAGTATTCTTATACCGTAGCTCAAACTGATATTTTTCATAGACATTAAATTCATTTGGAATAGACAACTCTGAATTCCTAATTTAAAACAAGGTTTCTTCAAGGAAAGTTGATAGAGACCTGGGGCATAAGAAAGGATATATTCTATAGAACTTATGGGAAAGCATAACAAAATATTTTCTTTTTATTTTCTTTCTCTAGTACATTATTCACTATTTATTCATTTATCATTATATTCAATAATTCTTAAACAAAGGAAAAGGCCAGAAGAATATATGATGAGTTCTTTTTACTTAAATTTGGTGACATTTTTAAGTTTTCTAAACTCCTTATTTATCATGTAAAAATAACTTTGTTCTTTGCCAATAAATGAATAAACAAATGAGCAGTTTCTCACTCTGAAGCAGATAGAAGAGTGTTATTCCAGTCTAAATGAAACATTACATTTCTTGAAGACTTGGAAAATCTAGGATAACAGCTCAAAGTTCTTCTCTTCACATTTTTAGGATCTATCTCCTCATTTTGTTCTTCTATTTCTCTATAAATTTCTTCTCTCTTAACTTGACCCAATAATCATCATCTACTGAGTCCTCTTTTTTATGCTGAGGTTTTTATATCTGTTACGTCTATAGGACAGATTGCATTTTTGTCATCCACATTTGAGGAAACTAAGAAACCGAGACATTGCAGTAGACAATTTAACAGATTTTGAAAACTAGTGACCTTCTGAGAATTCCTTAAGAAAGTCCTGCTGACATTTGCAGAGATTATATTCAATGATTTTCAGAAACTATGCTTATATTTTAGATATTATTAGTATGTATTTTATTACTGTGACATTTGCTGAGTACTTCCCGTGTACCATGCACCACTCACTTGTCAGTTATTTTGTCTTATTCAGTTTGTTCAAATAACTTATGAAGTATACCACATTGTCCTTATACTTCAGTTGAGAAAAACTGAGACGAATGCGGAAGCTTCTTTGGGAAAGGCCAGTCAGCTGGTGAGAAGCCAGGCTTTAAATCAGCAAGTCTAATTCCAGAGACTGCCTTAAAGGCTACCTCCCTAGTGTGCTTATGAAGTACATATAACCTGGAAAAGCAAACTAGGAAAAGTTTTCTGATTATTACATTTGCTCAAGTACATTTATACTGGCCTTCCTCTATGCTCTATGCAATTCCATGAGATGGAGACCTGCTCCCAGACATTCAGATAGGCTTATTGAGTATGCCAATAAAAAAAATAAAACCTACTTAAAAGGCTCGTTTTATTCTGTAATTACTTTCTAAGGACAAAATCTCGATCTTATTCTTTTCCCAGACAATAAGGGTATCTGATGTCATAGAGAAGTAAATCTCTTATAGGACACAAGTAAAATTTGATTTTGAATGGATTTTCATGGAGGATATAAAAACAACATGTAAAAGTATAACATATTCCAGCTGCACAGAGAAAAAGACACAAAAGAATTCCACTGGATGTCTAAGCTCTGAGATGCTAGAATATCAGTAAACAAAGTAAACAAGAAAGGCTTTTGCGGAGTCTTAAGTAAACAGTCTGAGCAAACCACACCCTAAAATCATTGCAACCACCACAGAATCTCAAAGGAAACACAACAAACACTATGACTCAATTCACTGCGCACTAAAAAAAATAATTAAGAAATGTTGGCTTTCTCAAATGTGTAGACTAGATGGACGGGCAGAAATAGTTGTATCATTAGTCCCATGAGAAATTAGGAACCGGAAATTACAAAGCCTGCCCCCATTTCACTTCTCACCCTAAGCATTGAAACACTGGCTCTGATTCTTACAGACCTCCCTCTTCCTGTTAGCCCTGCTACTACTGCCTCTGCCTTTATCTCAGTTTTCGCAGAAAAATAGAATTGATCAGTAATGACACCCAGGACCCAGAATGATTTGGAGAAAAACAGAACAATGTGTAAAAATATATTTAAGTAACTTAAGTTACTAAGCATTAAATTCATAACATATATGAAATATTGAAGACATGCTATCATAATTAACATTAGTACAGCCTGGCCATTAGTGAGGGCTTAGTAAATGATAGCTCTTATGACATTTATGTTTGCTGAGTAATTTAGAAATATTTTCAAGTTCTCCAGAAGTAAATGTCTTTTAGCAAATATGTTATGCTCCTCTTAACGAACAGAGTGTTTTCACAATTATAATGCAAAATTATTTTAGTGCCTTCACAAAACACAAAGGTTTCAATTTTTCTGGAAACAAACAGAGGAGAAAGTAGGAACTCACCACAAAAGACATTTTCCAACCTTTAAAACTGATTTGAAATTTACAAACCCTCAGGAAAAAAACATATATTGAATATGCTAACAGAACTGCAACAGCTGGAAGAAAACTGTCAGTTTTGTTACATGGTCAATTTCTCACTTGGAAAGTACCAGGTTTCTTTCACTGAAATCCACACAGTTCTTCTAAGGCTGAATGGTATGAGTTTATTTTATTTCATTTCATTTTTTAAAAATTTTATTGTTACCTAGGGACTCATTTCTACCATCCTTCTCATTTTCCCCCCTATAAATGCCCAAAGACTTTTCAGTATCTATTTGGTCTTCTGGAAGCCTAAAGCACATTTGTTGTTGATACTGATCATTTTGATTACCATTCAGCAATCTTGAAAAATTGCAACTTTAGGAACTGAAGCACATAAATACCGTTACTAACAGGAATAAGAGGGAAAATTGGTTTATGTTTGTTCATTTGCATTTTTCCCTCAGGGACTGCCCATGGTGTTTCTTCCTGAGGTTCCCTTTAGGGCTTCCTGATGATGTTTGCAAAATCCTTAATAATGTTATCCATCATAATCTCCTACCATTTTCAGTGTTTTAGTTATACTGGCCTAGGATATACTGAATTGAAAACAAAACACATAACTTCATTTTTTTTTTCCTATTATGCAATGATATATTTCTTGGGGAGATGCAATAAAATTACCAAAAAACAGACAGCTCAATAATTGTTTTGACTCATATATATAGGGTGTATGTATATTTAGACAATAATAAGTATACCATTAGAAGCTGTTTTTGAAATACATTTGCATTTCCTTCACAGGGTCACTGAAACCATACATAATACCAGAGGCAAAAATATGTATGTGTGCATGCATATGTGCTAAAGTATTTGAAAAAGGTCATGACAAATGAAACTAAAGGTATGCTTATTGTGGTATGAAAAATTTTAAATTCATGTATATGAACTGTCTTAAAACAGTTTATAGAAATGTGTAACATTAAAAAAAATTATAGTTTTCTTTTTTAAGTAAAATAAACTTATTTCTTTATTTCACTTTTCCACGAACTTTTTGAAGTTACCACATATATATTTTTGATTCGCTTACTTTTATTGGAAAGGCAAATATATAGAGAATGTGATACAGAGAGAAAGATCTTTAACCCTCTGGTTCACTCCCCAAGTGGTTGCAATGGCTAGAGCTAAGCCAGTCTGAAGCCAGGAGCCAGGAGCCACGTCTCCCAGGCAAGTGCAGAGTCCCAGGGCTTTGGGTCATCCTCTCCTGTTTTTCCAGGCCACAAGCAGGGAGTTGGATGAGAGATAGGGCAGCTGGGACATGAACTGGCACCCATATAGGGTATCCTGGTGTATGCAAGGTGAAGATTTAACCACTAAGTTATCGCTCTGGGAGGTACATTTTATAAGGACAGATTTAGGGCATTTATTAGATTCTCAAAGATATCCGTATACTGCAGAAGAAGCTTAAGATCTACTCTTCTGAAACATGTTTTGCGAAGTGAATATGAATAACAGTAAAACATTATCTCTATGTAAATACTTTTAAAAATCTTTGGTTAATGAAATAAAAGATTACCCTGCACTATATACAATGAAAATTACTATGGAGAAAATGCAAAAAGTAAGAAAAAATGGAAAAAGCAAGGAGAACTAATTCCTCAAGACAGTTCTTTAAACTGTTCATTTTGTATTGTACCAGACATAGGTCATATAATGGAAGCACTTACTTGGTCACCTTGGAGGCCTGGGAGTCCCATATGTCCTTTGGCACCCTACAGGGGAAAAGGTGAACACAAACTATGAAAAGTAAGCTTATATAAGCCAGATAAGCAAATGCAGGTTTTAAGTTGTTTTTCTAAAAATTTGGTTTCCCTGTCAATAGATATTTAATCCTTATTAATTCATTTATTGTTGATATCATTGATTAAACATGAAATGTTAATAATAAATTGGTTATTAATGACTTAATTATTTGACTGTTATTTGAATGATTTGTTATTCTTAACCAAAATGATAGCATAGCATCTAATAAAAAGTAACATCCTGTCATAAAAGGTTTACATCTAATAACAAATCTGCTATTTTCGGAAAGCTAGTTTAAGTTCAGTAACACTGAAATAAAATGCTTTCAGATACAATCTGTTTGTAATTAGTGAAAAACTGGACTCTATTCAGGCAGATAATCCAGTTCTCATCATTGTCATAACATACCATATATGGGCTAACTCAAATGAATGAGGATGCTCATATGATCACCGAAAGTTTTTACAAAGCTGCCCAGAGAGTTAGTAACAAAAATGCTTTCCAAATAATAAAACCAAAACCAATCTTAGCCTCTTATAAATTAACACTAAAATTTCAAAATCAATAAAGTCCTTTTTTTCTCTAGAAGAATCTTCCTCTAGAATAAAAATGAAATAACGTTAAAGAAATAACAGAAAGAAAGAAAAAAGTAAGACTTTGCAGGTTATTTGTGTAGTTACAAATAACAGTCAGTGAACTTGTCTAGTGTTTACCAGAAGATTGTAATGCATATAAAAGATCAAGGGAAGTACCATTTCTTAAGCACCTCACAAGATTTTTTTTTTTAAAATGTAGGGATACTTCAGAAATTTCATGGAAGATGCAACTAAAGAGTAAAAAAAATTAACATCTATGCATTTGAGTCTTCACAACTTCATGAAATAAAGGTATTTTGAAGAAACTATGTATCCATGAAATGTAAAATGCTTTGCACCAAAAGTAATTTATCTTTTCATTATACTTTCCATAAACTTTTTGAAGTACTCTTGTTTAACTCAAACGTCTGAAAAAAATAATACTTCACAAATATCAAATCTCTCCAATCAATATATGTGAACTGAAGATACGTATATAAGGTTTCAAAATATGCCCTATTTAGGATTAAATTATCTTTAATGATTAGTTACTGATGATTCATCAACAGAGATGATTTCAATCAAACAGATAATATCCTGGTTAGACAATGAGAAGATTAGATGAATTTATCTATATGAAAAATCAGAAATTATTTCAGCAGGTTTTGAGAAAATAAAATGATGTAAATATTTAACAAGCCAAGGAGGCTCATGAAAACCAAAGAAAGGATTGGAAATTAAGTTTGAAGACAAAAGGTTTTTATATTATTTGTAAAACATTTTAGAGACTGGAAAGTAATGGAGGCAAAAACAAAAGAAAGGAAAGGCCCATCAATGGGTGTGCGGCTGTCATATTATGCTATTGGTAAGACTTGTAGAAGTTAGCCATGAGAAAGAAGCAAAGACAGGGAAGAAGGAAATGGATGAACTACGTTGAACTAGCATGTGCCAGCCATGTACCAGCCATGTCCCACGTCCTAATTAACTCCTTGGCAGTTCTGGGCAGCATGTATTTGCAGGAGATTGCCCCTCGATCTCCACCTGCCTAGCCTATATGGGACAGCATAGGCACATGACACACTGTGACCCTGGGAGAACCTCTGACAAGAGTCTGAACTAACAGAGCCCAACATGGCCTGTTCACAGGGCATGCAGCAAGAGCGATGGGATGCACCCCAGTCTCTCTTCTCTGCCTCTTTAACAAACTGTGCTAGGACTTCCTTTGTAAGCAACTGTAGGAAGTCAAATTTTTCATTCATCCTGCCCTTCAGCAAGGAACGAGTTTGCCCTGAGACACAGTTTCTTATGCTTCCTAACATTTAACTTCTTTGGAGGGCCCAGAGAGATTGCCATACCTGTTAGCCAATCACAATGTTGTTGCTGGGTGGAAGTACTGTTGGAACCGCCTTCTGCCCCCCCCCCCTTTCCTAACCTCTACAGGCGTGTGACTTCTTTAAAATAAATGGACATCCTCCACCACCAGTTTGTTTCCAGTGCTTCTGCTGCAGATGAGCACTGTTGCCTCACCCCTTGGTGAGTTTCAGGGCCTGCTAAACAGAAGACCCCTGAGAAGTCTTATTCCTTGTTTGCAAATGAGGAAACTGAGTACTGAGCAATTAAATAACTTGACCACAATTAGGCAGAAGCATGTCAAATCTATCAAGCACTGAGTAGTCTACCTTTCTATCTATTCCATATATCTAAAATCGTCTCATACTCGGGTATAATCTGCCCTGGTTTTCATCACTAGTTTCAAAATTATCAATCACAAACAAGACAAATTATCAAAATGTATGCTTCATCTGTTATCAAATCTACAGACTTACAGAAAGCACTGGACTGTATTTTAGATCAACTGCATTCCCAGTTTTATAGTTTTTTTATGAAAGCTGAAGATGATCATCAAAACAGGGTATCTATTGTGCTTTGTTCTCCAAATGTTTACATAAGAATATGCAAATAAAATATCCACAAAACTAATTTTTTCACTTTCTATATTAGAAGGTTTGAAACATCCTCACCATGAGGTAGAAAATTCAGGAAATGGAGGGAACCATAAGTTTCCTGTACAATATCAGGAAGATGAGGACTAAAAAGCCACAGTAGGAGGATCACAGGTCAGAGCCACCAAATTATTCCATTTCCCATTTCTTAAAAAGGGCTTACCTATTTAGTTTTATTGTTTCCATGAATATGTGAATCTACTTGAATGTTTAATTTTCTTGAAATAATCACTACCTGTTTTTTATAATTTCTTTTTTAAATTTCTTTTTTTTTTTTTCAATTTTCCATGATTCATTTTTGTAGATATGAGGGATTCATCCTTCCCCTCCACTTCTCCCTCCTCGTTTCTCCCATTAAATTACAGTGGAACAAAATGCAGTGGTGCTAGAACTTCTCAATTTACTCTTCCCAAAGACCTTTATAATAGTGAGCTTCATCATTGAAGCATAGTGCCTCCTGAATGTAAAATTCTCATTTAGGATTCCTCTTAATTCAAAACCCTGATAAAGTAAAATCACCCCACAGTCCTGGTATGCTTCTCATGAGCTCCCTACTCTTTAGTGTGACTTGATCCAAAGTTGGACAACAGAATGTCTGCCTAGGGCCCTAGCAAGGTCACTTGGAAGCAAGACTTCTGCCTAAATGAAGACCAGCTGGACTAATCAAATTCCTCTTTTTTTTTTCTCTACCATGAGGTTTAAATATAAATAGTAATAGATAAGCTTCAGGGACTTATCATTGGAAAATATTCACAAAGAAAGGTTAAAAAGAATTACAGAACCATTGAGATGCTACAAGAAAATAAAAATACAAGTAAAAACTAAGAACAAGCAGAAATTATGTTGACAAAGGAAGTTGTTCAGACAAAAAGCAAAACAACAAAAAAAGATAAAGAAAGAATAACTAATATACAGAGTACAAAAATGCATACGAGCAAAATTGACATTTTGAGGTGTGATTATTGCTACATAGCTGTTGTCTATACTTTTGAGTAACAGTGGTTTTTCTACTTACTAGTTGTTAAACTATTTAGCAGAAGGTGAAGTTTGAGATCATGAAGTAAATTTAAACTTTATCAGTGAAAAAATTAAAAGAAAAATAAGGAAAGAGGAAAGAATATGATGGACAAGAAGTGGAAAGAGTGGGCTGTATCATACTGCCCTTAAATCCATGCATATGCATGGAATTCATGACATTTGTTCCCATTATATGATAAAAAAAATTTAAAACTTCCCAAATCAAACAATGCAAATCCACAAATGAATACTGCTAAGTTGCTCAGGGCTAGTTGGAGTCAGTGTCTCTCTATGAGACCCAATCATATGATAATACCTACTTTTAGATTCCAAGGGGTCCTTGTTTGTCTTAATGCTGTGGAGAGGACTGAAACTACTTACTCTTTTCCTTAAGATAGCCTAAGACTCCATTATATCCATAAAAAGACCCCAAGTAAAGTAATGTGATTTTTACATTTATTTCACTTGTTTTTAGCTGCTAATAATAATGAAGAACAAACCTAGCATACTGAATTTCAAAATCAGTTTTACCACCAAGGAGTCAAATCATGTATCTTAAACTCTTCAATTAAGAAAATGACATTTTCTTTTGCAAAAGTTTTATTTAATATTGGAGTTCTGTGATTATTGAAATCTATTAGGATTGCTAGTTTTCAAAAATTTAGTTTTCACTGAATGAAAAATAAGAATTTCAGAAAGGTGGGCACATGAATCTCCACAAACTACAAAACTGCTAAAAAATTCTGGGATGTAAAGGATTTGCCTCTAGAACTCTCATTCTTAAAATTTAACAGGATATATCTACCACAGGTCAGATGCTCCAACAGAGTACGCAGGCCCTTTCATAACTTGACCCTTGAAGAGCCCTCAGACCTTAGCAACTGACACCTCCTGCCTTACACTCCAAGATTCAGGGACAAGGAAGTGCTTCTTCCCGCCAATCCTTGGTTGATGTATTACTCATGTACAGATATCACACCTGTCCACCAAGAAAATTATCATCATTACCTTCTTCTGCCCACAGTCAAGCCGTACCCTGCATATATTCACTTTTCCTTCTCCCTGCGCATACCTGCACATCCTCAGAAAGCTTATGTAACCCTCAAGTACTGTGTCCTTATTATCCTTTCCATCTTTATCACACGTGCGCCACATCTTTATCATTGTAAATGTCATAGCATAATTTTTGTGATACACTTTTGTTTGGGCTTTTAATCGATTTGGGATGATAATTTGCTGGCTTTACCTTCGGACCAGAGATGTCTCAACAAGAAATCATTGAACCCACTAGAATAATAAGACAATGGACTTTATGCTTGGTAAATACTTCCAATGAAAGAACCTCAACTGAATTTGAACTGTGGTAACGCAGCA